AGAGAGAGAGAGAGAGAGGAAGCATCATTTAAGAGCTCATAGTTTCCCGAGAACCCGAGAACTAAAAGTGGAGCGTTAGATCAAAAAAAAGGATGGCCTTGATGCATTGTGGCATTTTTGTAAATAAGTGGACAAATAAAGGGACGGGGGCATTGAAATTAAATGGTATTGAGGGCATTTTAGGGTTAAAGAAATTACTCACTACACACACGTCTTCCTCGCGTCCAACCGCCTCCATCTCCTCCGATCGACGCCATTACCACTCTACATTCCAAACCATAAGCCGATTACCAGTTCACTGTCTTCAAAAGTAACCTCTGCCTTGCAAAGCGTCACCATAAGATTGATCCATCGGCGGTCGATGGCATCACTCGACATTTCCCTTAACCCCTGAAGGCCCTAAAAAGTCTATTAAAATTTCAAATTCCATCGCAAAACCTAAACAGCCTGTAGATCCGAATGTTAATGACGAAAACATAGCTCAACTTGATCCTGTTGCTCCTGCTGTTGATTCTGTTGATTATGTATCCTCCGAAGATCTAAAACCCCTTTCTGACCCTGATGTCAAGTTCCAGGTAAATATATTTCCGTTTCAGTGATTACTTCGAAACCCATTTCAGTTTATATCTCATCTGAAAATCTAAATTCCATTTCTGATCGTGATGTTAATTTCCAGTTACACATGTGTCTTAGTTCCATGAAAACTAAATCTATATCAAGAACCCAGTTCGTGATTTTGTGTGATAGTCTCATAACCCATTTGTGATTTTGTGTAAATTGATTCATTTTTTTATGATTTTTATGAACTCAGGGCCTAATTGAAGGACTGGAATCCAAGGATTGGCTGAAGATTTGTGATTCGTTAAATGATGTTAGGCGGATGGTTGAAGACTGGCCCCATGTCTCCCTTATCCCTCGCTTTGACACAGACTCGGTAATGACAAGTTCAACCTGAAGGTACTGGCCCTCTCTATGTCTTTGACTTCATTTAGTTTCATTGTGTACAAATTCAAGTATTCAACAACTGATTTGCTCTATCAATCAAATATCTTATAATCTTAATAAAAGTAATGTATTTCTTCAAAATTCTATTTGTGTCTACAAATTTAATTTGGTTCGATTCAACTGTTAATATGGATATGCTTACTGATTTTTAGATTTTACTGTTTTATTTTTGCTGATGAATATGAGTATATGACTAGGGTTGTCAACATAGAAGGGTGTGCACAATGAATTAAAATGGTTAACAAGTCAATTGTTTTGAAATCGAAAAAAGTATAGATTTGATCTAAGATTGGTTCTAGAATTATTATTATTTGGTTAATGATTTTGTGGAGTTTACTAATATGTTTGGGGTTTTTTTATATGAATACAGGGAAAATGTTTTGTTGGTTTTAGTGAAGGCGATGAAGAATCCAAGAAGCGCTTTGTGCAAAACTTCTATCATGGCTGCTTCTGATATTTTCAAATCATATGGTGATAAGTTGCTTGAGTCCACAACCTATGATGATGTTGACTACATTGTATGACTTAAATGATGGAAATTATAGAAAATTCAGTTTTAATATATCTATTTTACAACTAAATCTCAATAGGTGGAGTATGTGAATGCTTAAGCATCTGAACTAGCAACCACAACAACAAACGGATATTTCAAGATTAATCAGTGCAAAGATCTGTTGTCAATATTCACACACATGGAGGTAAATAGACATCAAACTCCAAATTATCTTTTAATTTCTATTTTATTAAACTATTTATCATCATTTCTTATATACTCATGTTTTGAATGAAATTATTAATCACATTTGATTCACATGTAAATCACATTTGATTCACATGTAATTCACATTTGATTCACATATAAATCACAATTACACGTGATTCACATGTAATTCACATATGAATCACATGTGATTCACACGTAAATGACATTTGATTCACATGTAAATCACATGCGATTCACATGTAAATCATATGTGATTCACATGTAAATCACATGTGATTCATATGTGAATCGCATGTGATTTACATGTGCTTTACATATGATGTCATATGTAAATGTGATTGATATGTGAATAGCATGTGATTCATATGTTAATCACATGAAAATCACATATGTATTTTTGTGAGTGTTTTTGCATCAATCATTTTATTTTTAATTTTCTTGTAGATTTGGAAGAAATTGTGGTGAATATTAAAGATGTGAAAAATGATAAATTGAAGAAAATAAGGAAATATTGACACGAAGACATGAAAACGCTTTGAAATTTGTAGCATTTTTTTATATTTTATTTTGTATCGAATAAAATACTTGTACTATTATGTTTATAGGTTAATTAATAAAAATGAGATTTTTTGTGATTTACTTACGAATATTATAGTATAAGAAATATACATATATGCATTTGAAAAAAATATGCATATATGCACCTAAAAATTTACTTTTAAAAAAAAGTGCAGTTTTTTTGAAAAAATTACAGTTTTTTTTAAATGCAGTTTTTTTGAAAAAAATGTAAATTTTTTTAAAAAACTTGCAGTTTTTTTGAGAAAATTGAAGTTTTTTTTTTAAAAATGCAGTTTTTTTATTTTAAAATGCAGTTTTTGTTTTGAAAAAAAATGTAGTTTTCATTAGAAAAATTAAAGTTTTTTTTTAAATTGCAGTTTTTCGAAAAAATTGCAGTTTAAAAAAATATATAATTTTTTCAATTTTTTTTTTCAAAAATTCATGTTTTCTTTAAAAAATTAAAAAATTTGCATATAAAAAAAACGAAAAATACTATATTTAAAAAATCTGGAAATTGATTTATGATGTAAATTTTTTCGACATTTATATTAATATATTAAATAACACAAAAAAATTAAACATTAAATGAGATTGGTAAGATGACGATCATGTCTTTAATTAATTACTTTTGATCTAACGCTCCACTTTTAGTTCTCGGTTCTCGGGAAAATATGAGTTCTCAACCGATCTCAACCCTATATATAGAGGAAGGATCATTTGAGAACTCATAATTTCTCGAGAACCCGAGAACTAAAAGTGGAGCGTTAGATCAAAAAAAAGGATGGTCATGATGCATTGTGGCATTTTTGTAAATAAGTGGAAAAATAAAGGGACGGGGGTATTGAAATAAAATGGTATTGAGGGCATTTTAGGGTTAAAGAAATTACTCACTACACATACGTCTTCCTCGTGTCCAACCGCCTCCATCTCCTCTGATCGACGACATTCCCCCTCTACATTTCAAACCAGAAGACGATTACCAGTTCACCGTCTTCAAAAGTAACCTCCGCCTTGCAAAGCGTCACCATAAGATTGATCCATCAGCGGTCGATGACGTCAATCGACATTGCCCTTAACCCCTTAAGGCCCTAAAAAGTCTATTAAAATTTCAAATTCCATCGCAAAACCTAAACAACCTGTAGATCCGAATGTTAATGACGAAAGCATAGCTCATCTTGATCATGTTGCTCCTGCTGTTGATTATGTTGATTATGTCTCCTCTGAAGATCTAAAACCCCTTTCTGACCCTGATGTCAAGTTCCAGGTAAATATGTTTCCGTTTCAGTGATTACTTCGAAACCCATTTCAGTTTATATCTCATCTGAAAATCTAAATTCCATTTCTGATCGTGATGTTAATTTCCAGTTACACATGTGTCTTAGTTCCATGAAAACTGATGAATATGAGTATATGACTAGGGTTGTCAACATAGAAGGGTGTGCACAATGAATTAAAATGTTTAACAAGTCAATTGTTTTCAAATCGAAAAAGCATTAATTTGATCTAAGATCTAAGATTGGTTCTAGAATTATTATTAGTTGGTTAACGATTTTGTGGAGTTTACTAATTATGTGGTGTTTTTATATGATACAGGGAAAAGGTTTTGTTGGTTTTAGTGAAGGCGATGAAGAATCCAAGAAGCGCTTTGTGCAAAACTTCTATCATGGCTGCTTCTGATATTTTCAAATCATATGGTGATAAGTTGCTTGAGTCCATAACCCGTGATGCTGTTGACCACATGGTATGACTTAGATGATGGAAATTATAGAAAATTCAGTTTTAATATATCTATTTTACAACTAAATCTTAGTAGGTGGAGCATGTGAATGCTTTAGCATCTGAACTAGCAACCACAACAACAAACGAATGTTTCAAGATTAATCAGTGCAAAGATCTGTTGTCAATATTCACACACATGGAGGTAAATAGACATCAAACACCAAATTATATTTTAATTTCTATTTTATTAAACTATTTATCATCATTTCATATATACTCATGTTTTGAATGAAATTATTAATCACATTTGATTCACATGTAATTAACATTTGATTCACATGTAATTCACATTTGATTCACATATAAATCACATTTACACGAGATTCACATGTAATTCACATATGAATCACATGTGATTCACACGTAAATCCATTTGATTCACATGTAATAGCACATATGATTTACATGTAAATTATATGTGATTCACATGTAAATCATATGTGATTCACATGTAAATCACATGTGAATCACATGTGATTCATATGTGAATCGCATGTGATTTACATGTGCTTTACATATGATGTCATATGTAAATGTGATTGATATGTGAATAGCATGTGATTCATATGTGAATCGCATGTGATTCATATGTTAATCACATGAAAATCACATATGTATTTTTTTGAGTGTTTATGCATCAATCATTTTTTTTAATTTTCTTGAAGATTTGGAAGAAATTGTGGTGAATATTGAAGATGTGAAAAATGATAAATTGAAGAAAATAAAGAAATATTGACACGAAGACATGAAAACGCTTTGAAATTTGAAGCATTTTTTTTTATATTTTATTTTGTATCGAATAAAATACTTGTACTATTATGTTTATAGGTTAATTAATAAAAATGAGATTTTTTGTGATTTACTTACGAATATTATAGTATAAGAAATATACATATATGCATTTGAAAAAAATATGCATATATGCACCTAAAAAATTACTTTTAAAAAAATGCAGTTTTTTTTGAAAAAATTACAGTTTTTTTTAAATGCAGTTTTTTTGAAGAAAATGTAAATTTTTTTAAAAAACTTGCAGTTTTTTTGAAAAAATTGCAGTTTTTTTATTTAAAAATGCAGTTTTTTTATTTAAAAATGCAGTTTTTGTTTTGAAAAAAAATGTAGTTTTCATTAGAAAAATTAAAGTTTTTTTTTTTAAATTGCAGTTTTTCGAAAAAATTGCAGTTTAAAAAAATATATTTTTTTTTCAATTTTTTTTCAAAAATTCATGTTTTCTATAAAAAATTAAAAAATTTGCATATAAAAAAAAACGAAAAATACTATATTTAAAAAAATCTGGAAATTTGATTTATGATGTAAATTTTTAGACATTTATATTAATATATTAAATAACACAAAATAATTAAACATTAAATGAGATTGGTAAGATGACGATCATGTTTTTAATTAATTACTTTTGATCTAACGCTCCACTTTTAGTTCTCGGTTCTCGGGAAAATATGAGTTCTCAACCGATCTCAACCCTATATATAGAGGAAGGATCATTTGAGAACTCATAATTTCCCGAGAACCCGAGAACTAAAAGTGGAGCGTTAGATAAAAAAAAGGATGGTCATGATGCATTGTGGCATTTTTGTAAATAAGTGGAAAAATAAAGGGACGGGGGCATTGAAATAAAATGGTATTGAGGGCATTTTAGGGTTAAAGAAATTACTCACTACACACACGTCTTCCTCGCGTCCAACGCCTCCACTCCTCTGATCGACGACATTCCCCTCTACATTTCAAACTAGAAGACGATTACCAGTTCACCGTCTTCAAAAGTAACCTCCGCCTTGCAAAGCGTCACCATAAGATTGATCCATCAGCGGTCGATGACGTCACTCGACATTGCCCTTAACCCCTGAAGGCCCTAAAAAGTCTATTAAAATTTCAAATTCCATATAAAACCTAAACAAACCTGTAGATCCGAATGTTAATGACGAAAACATAGCTCATCTTGATCCTGTTGCTCCTGCTGTTGATTATGTTGATTATGTCTCCTCTGAAGATCTAAAACCCCTTTCTGACCCTGATATCAAGTTCCAGGTAAATATGTTTCCGTTCAGTGATTACTTTCGAAACCCATTTCAGTTTATATCTCATATAAAAATCTAAATTCCATTTCTGATCGTGATGTTAATTTCCAGTTACACATGTGTCTTAGTTCAATGAAAAACTGATGAATATGAGTATATGACTAGGGTTGTCAATATAGAAGGTGTGCACAATGAATTAAAATGTTTAACAAGTCAATTGTTTTGAAATCGAAAAAAGCATTAAATTTGATATAAGATTGGTTCTAGAATTATTATTATTTGGTTAACGATTTTGTGGAGTTTACTAATATGTGGTGTTTTTATATGAATACAGGGAAAAGGTTTTGTTGGTTTTAGTGAAGACGATGAAGAATCCAAGAAGCGCTTTGTGCAAAACTTCTATCATGGCTGCTTCTGATATTTTCAAATCATATGGTGATAAGTTGCTTGAGTCCACAACCTGTGATGCTGTTGACCACATGGTATGACTTAGATGATGGAAATTATAGAAAATTCAGTTTTAATATATCTATTTTACAACTAAATCTTAGTAGGTGGAGCATGTGAATGCTTTAGCATCTGAACTAGCAACCACAACAACAAACGAATGTTTCAAGATTAATCAGTGCAAAGATCTGTTGTCAATATTCACACACATGGCGGTAAATAGACATCAAACTCCAAATTATATTTTAATTTCTATTTTATTAAACTATTTATCATCATTTCATATATACTCATGTTTTGAATGAAATTATTAATCACATTTGATTCACATGTAATTAACATTTGATTCACATGTAATTCACATTTGATTCACATATAAATCACATTTACACGTGATTCACATGTAATTCACATATGAATCACATGTGATTCACACGTAAATCACATTTGATTCACATGTAAATCACATATGATTTACATGTAAATTATATGCGATTCACATGTAAATCATATGTGATTCACATGTAAATCACATGTGAATCACATGTGATTCATATGTGAATCGCATGTGATTTACATGTGCTTTACATATGATGTCATATGTAAATGTGATTGATATGTGAATAGCATGTGATTCATATGTGAATCGCATGTGATTCATATGTTAATCACATGAAAATCACATATGTATTTTTATGAGTGTTTATGCATCAATCATTTTTTTTTTAATTTTCTTGAAGATTTGGAAGAAATTGTGGTGAATATTGAAGATGTGAAAAATGATAAATTGAAGAAAATAAAGAAATATTGACACGAAGACATGAAAACGCTTTGAAATTTGAAGCATTTTTTTTTATATTTTATTTTGTATCGAATAAAATACTTGTATTATTATGTTTATAGGTTAATTAATAAAAATGAGATTTTTTGTGATTTACTTACGAATATTATAGTATAAGAAATATACACATATGCATTTGAAAAAAATATGCATATATACACCTAAAAAATTACTTTTAAAAAAAATGCGGTTTTTTTTGAAAAAATTACAGTTTTTTTTAAATGCAGTTTTTTTGAAGAAAATGTAAATTTTTTTAAAAAACTTGCAGTTTTTTTGAAAAAATTGCAGTTTTTTTATTTAAAAATGCAGTTTTTTTCTTTAAAAATGTAGTTTTTGTTTTGAAAAAAAATGTAGTTTTCATTAAAAAAATTAAAGTTTTTTTTTTTAAAATTGCAGTTTTTCGAAAAAATTGCAATTTAAAAAAATATATATATTTTTTCAATTTTTTTTTCAAAAATTCATGTTTTCTATAAAAAATTAAAAAATTTGCATATAAAAAAAAAACGAAAAATACTATATTTAAAAAAATCTGGAAATTTGATTTATGATGTAAATTTTTAGACATTTATATTAATATATTAAATAACACAAAATAATTAAACATTAAATGAGATTGGTAAGATGACGATCATGTTTTTAATTAATTACTTTTGATCTAACGCTCCACTTTTAGTTCTCGGTTCTCGGGAAAATATGAGTTCTCAACCGATCTCAACCCTAGATATAGAGGAAGGATCATTTGAGAACTCATAATTTCCCGAGAACCCGAGAACTAAAAGTGGAGCGTTAGATAAAAAAAAGGATGGTCATGATGCATTGTGACATTTTTGTAAATAAGTGGAAAAATAAAGGGACGGGGGCATTGAAATAAAATGGTATTGAGGGCATTTTAGGGTTAAAGAAATTACTCACTACACACATGTCTTCCTCGCGTCCAACCGCCTCCATCTCCTCTGATCGACGACATTCCCCCTCTATATTTCAAACTAGAAGACGATTACCAGTTCACCGTCTTCAAAAGTAACCTCCGCCTTGCAAAGCGTCACCATAAGATTGATCCATCAGCGGTCGATGACGTCACTCGACATTGCCCTTAACCCCTGAAGGCCCTAAAAAGTCTATTAAAATTTCAAATTCCATATAAAACCTAAACAACCTGTAGATCCGAATGTTAATGACGAAAACATAGCTCATCTTGATCTTGTTGCTCCTGCTGTTGATTATGTTGATTATGTCTCCTCTGAAGATCTAAAACCCCTTTCTGACCCTGATATCAAGTTCCAGGTAAATATGTTTCCGTTTCAGTGATTACTTCGAAACCCATTTCAGTTTATATCTCATATAAAAATCTAAATTCCATTTCTGATCGTGATGTTAATTTCCAGTTACACATGTGTCTTAGTTCCATGAAAACTGATGAATATGAGTATATGACTAGGGTTGTCAATATAGAAGGGTGTGCACAATGAATTAAAATGTTTAACAAGTCAATTGTTTTGAAATCGAAAAAAGCATTAAATTTGATCTAAGATTGGTTCTAGAATTATTATTATTTGGTTAACGATTTTGTGGAGTTTACTAATATGTGGTGTTTTTATATGAATACAGGGAAAAGGTTTTGTTGGTTTTAGTGAAGGCAATGAAGAATCCAAGAAGCGCTTTGTGCAAAAACTTCTATCATGGCTGCTTCTGATATTTTCAAATCATATGGTGATAAGTTGCTTGAGTCCACAACCTGTGATGCTGTTGACCACATGGTATGACTTAGATGATGGAAATTATAGAAAATTCAGTTTTAATATATCTATTTTACAACTAAATCTTAGTAGGTGGAGCATGTGAATGCTTTAGCATCTGAACTAGCAACCACAACAACAAACGAATGTTTCAAGGTTAATCAGTGCAAAGATCTGTTGTCAATATTCACACACATGGCGGTAAATAGACATCAAACTCCAAATTATATTTTAATTTCTATTTTATTAAACTATTTATCATCACTTCATATATACTCATGTTTTGAATGAAATTATTAATCACATTTGATTCACATGTAATTAACATTTGATTCACATGTAATTCACATTTGATTCACATATAAATCATATTTACACGTGATTCACATGTAATTCACATATGAATCACATGTGATTCATATGTAAATCACATTTGATTCACATGTAAATCACATATGATTCACATGTAAATCATATGCGATTCACATGTAAATCATATGTGATTCACATGTAAATCACATGTGAATCACATGTGATTCATATGTGAATCGCATGTGATTTACAATGTGCTTTACATATGATGTCATATGTAAATGTGATTGATATGTGAATAGCATGTGATTCATATGTGAATCGCATGTGATTCATATGTTAATCACATGAAAATCACATATGTATTTTTGTGAGTGTTTTTGCATCAATCATTTTTTTTTAATTTTCTTGAAGATTTGGAAGAAATTGTGGTGAATATTGAAGATGTGAAAAATTATAAATTGAAAAAAATAAAGAAATATTGACACGAAGACATGAAAACGCCTTGAAATTTGAAGCATTTTTTTTTATATTTTATTTTGTATCGAATAAAATACTTGTACTATTATGTTTATAGGTTAATTAATAAAAATGAGATTTTTTGTGATTTACTTACGAATATTATAGTATAAGAAATATATATATATATCATATATATATATATATATATATATATATATATATGCATTTGAATAAAATATGCATATATGCATCTAAAAATTTACTTTTTTAAAAAACGCTTGTAGTTTTTTTGAAAACATTGCAGTTTTTTTATTTAAAAATGCAATTTTTTTTAAATGTAGTTTTCATTAGAAAAATTGCAGTTTTATTTGTTAAATTGCAGTTATTCGAAAAAATTGCAGTTTGAAAAAAAAATATTTTTTTTTTCAATTTTTTTTTTCAAAAATTCATGTTTTCTATAAAAAATTAAAAAATTTGCATTTAAAAAAAAGCGAAAAATACTATATTTAAAAAAATTTGGAAATTTGATTTATGATGTAAATTTTTAGACATTTATATTAATATATTAAGTAACACAAAAAATTAAATATTAAATGAGATTAGTAAGATGACGATCATGTCCTTAATGAATTACTTTTGATCTAACGCTTCACTTTTAGTTCTCGGGTTCTCGGGAAAATATGAGTTCTCAACCGATCTCAACCCTATATATAGAGGAAGGATCATTTGAGAACTCATAGTTTCTCGTGAACCCGAGAAATAAAAGTGGAGCGTTAGATCAAAAAAAAGGATGGCCATGATGCATTGTGGCATTTTTGTAAATAAGTGGAAAAATAAAGGGACGGGGGCATTGAAATTAAATGGTATTGAGGGCATTTTAGGGTTAAAGAAATTACTCACTACACACACTTCTTCCTCGCGTCCAACCGCCTCCATCTCCTCCGATCGACACCATTCCCCCTTTACATTCCAAACCAGAAGACGATTACCAGTTCACCGTCTTCAAAAGTAACCTCCGCCTTGCAAAGCGTCACCATAAGATTGATCCATCGGCGGTCGATGGCGTCACTCGACATTGCCCTTAACCCCTGAAGGCCCTAAAAAGTCTATTAAAATTTCAAATTCCATCGCAAAACCTCAACATCCTATAGATCCGAATGTTAATGACGAAAACATAGCTCATCTTGCTCCTGCTGTTGATTATGTTGATTATGTCTCCTCCGAAGATCTAAAACCCCTTTCTGACCCTGATGTCAAGTTCCAGGTAAATATATTTCCATTTCAGTGATTACTTCGAAACCCATTTCAACTTATATCTCATCTGAAAATCTAAATTCCATTTCTGATCGTGATGTTAATTTCCAATTACACATGTGTCTTAGTTCCATGAAAACTAAATCTATATCAAGAACCCAGTTCGTGATTTTGTGCGATAGTCTCATAACCCATTTGTGATTTTGTGTAAATTGATTCATTTTTTTTTCTGATTTTTATGAACTCAGGGCCTAATTGAAGGACTGGAATCCAAGGATTGGCTGAAGATTTGTGATTCGTTAAATGATGTTAGGCGGATGGCTGAAGATTGGCCCCATGTCTCCCTTATCCCTCCCTTTTACACAGACTCGGTAATGAAAAGTTCAATCTGAAGGTACTGGCCATCTCTATGTCTTTGACTTCATTTAGTTTCATTGTGTACAAATTCAAGTATTCAACAACTGATTTGCTCATTCAAGCAAATTTCTTATAATCTCAATAAAAGTTAATGTATTTATTCAAAATTCTATTTGTGTCTACAAATTTAATTTGGTTCGATTCAGTTGTTAATATGGATATGCTTACTGATTTTTAGATTTTACTGTTTTATTTTTGCTGATGAATATGAGTATATGACTAGGGTTGTCAACATAGAAGGGTGTGCACAATGAATTAAAATGGTTAACAAGTCAATTGTTTTGAAATCGAAAAAAGTATTAGATTTGATCTAAGATTGGTTCTAGAATTATTATTATTTGGTTAATGATTTTGTGGAGTTTACTAATATGTGGTGTTTTTATATGAATACAGGGAAAATGTTTTGTTGGTTTTAGTGAAGGCGATGAAGAATCCAAGAAGCACTTTGTGCAAAACTTCTATCATGGCGCTTCTGATATTTTCAAATCATATGGTGATAAGTTGCTTGAGTCCACAACCTATGATGATGTTGACCACATGGTATGACTTAAATGATGGAAATTATAGAAAATTCAGTTTTAATATATCTATTTTACAACTAAATCTCAATAGGTGGAGTATGTGAATGCTTAAGCATCTGAACTAGCAACCACAACAACAAACGGATGTTTCAAGATTAATCAGTGCAAAGATCTGTTGTCAATATTCACACACATGGAGGTAAATAGACATCAAACTCCAAATTATCTTTTAATTTCTATTTTATTAAACTATTTATCATCATTTCTTATATACTCATGTTTTGAATGAAATTATTAATCACATTTGATTCACATGTAAATCACATTTGATTCACATGTAATTCACATTTGATTCACATATAAATCACATTTACACGTGATTCACATGTAATTCACATATGAATCACATGTGATTCACACGTAAATCACATTTGATTCACATGTAAATCACATATGATTCACATGTAAATCACATATTATTCACATGTAAATCACATGCGATTCACATGTAAATCATATGTGATTCACGTGTAAATCACATGTGAATCACATGTGATTCATATGTGAATCGCATGTGATTTACATGTGCTTTACATATGATGTCATACGTAAATGTGATTGATATGTGAATAGCATGTGATTCATATGTTAATCACATGAAAATCACATATGTATTTTTTTAGTGTTTTTGCATCAATCATTTTTTTTTTAATTTTATTGTAGATTTGGAAGAAATTGTGGTGAATATTGAAGATGTGAAAAATGATAAATTGAAGAAAATAAGGACATATTGACACGAAGGCATGAAAACGCTTTGAAATTTGTAGCATTTTTTTATATTTTATTTTGTATCGAATAAAATACTTGTACTATTATGTTTATAGGTTAATTAATAAAAATGAGATTTTTTGTGATTTACTTACGATTATTATAGTATAAGAAATATACATATATGCATTTGAAAAAAATATGCATATATGCACCTAAAAATTACTTTTTTAAAAAAAATGCTGTTTTTTTGAAAAAATTGCAGTTTTTTTTAAATGCAGTTTTTTTTGAAAAAAATGTAACTTTTTTAAAAAAACTTGCAGTTTTTTTTGAAAATAGTGCAGTTTTTTTATTTAAAAATGCAGTTTTTTTTAAAAAAATATAGTTTTCATTAGAAAAATTGCAGTTTTTTTTAAATTGCGAAAAAATTGTAGTTTACAAAAATATATTTTTTTCAATTTTTTTTTCAAAAATTCATGTTTTCTATAAAAAGTTAAAAAAATTGCATTTAAAAAAAAACGAAAAATACTATATTTAAAAATATATGGAAATTTTTTTTATGATGTAAATTTTTAGACATTTATATTAATATATTAAATAACACAAAAAAATTAAACATTAAATGAGATTGGTAAGATGACGATCATGTCTTTAATTAATTATTTTTGATCTAACGTTCCACTTTTAATTCTTGGGTTCTCGGAAAAATATGAGGTTTCAACCGATTTATATATATATATATTATATATATATATATATATATATATATAATATATATATATATATATATATATATATATGAACACATTGACTTGGACTTTGTTCACACACTACCTAATATTTATTCAACTAAATCTTCATGATCGAATATAGCCAACTGCTACCGTATACCATGTCAATAATTTGAAGGCAGAACATTAACACCGGACCTGCCTTGAACGTGCCAAGTAAGTTGATTATTCGTTGTTGCAAACATTTAATACTAACCAGATTTATTGTGATCAATTCTTGTAGATATATCTGAAGAAGTCATCTGTTAGCAACAGGATTCATTATGGGAACAGAAGATGACGACTATGGAAAGAAGGTTCACGAATCCATTAGTAAACTGATAGAAGGTGAATCTGCAAGAACGAATCATTCCAAGCAATCTAATGTCACAATTTGTATGGTACCCGATACACTTCGAAATTTGAACCCAACTGCATATACGCCTCGAATCACCTCAATCGGCCCTCTTCACAAAGAGGACCAGCATCTTAAAGCTATGGAGGAGCACAAAGTGACTTACATGTATCGATTATTTTGTCGAACTGTGGAATCCACAAAGAAGGATATAGAGCAAATAACTTATAACTGTGTACAAGCAGTTCTTGGGCTTCTAACACGTGCAAGAGCTTGCTATGCACCAAGTTTTACAAATTATGAAAATTTAAAGTTCGCTGAAATGATGGTTATTGATGGTTGCTTCATACTTGAGCTTCTCTACAGGTTCGAATATGGAATTGGAGAGGGGGATCCAATTTTTTGACAATATTCTGGTGATACATGACGTTAAACACGACTTGCTGCTACTAGAAAATCAAATGCCATTCTTTATTCTTGAAATATTGTTCAGCATCACTGTGAAACGGATCTTGAAGTCAATTTCGTTAACTGACCTTGTCTTCTATTTCTTCAAGGATATGAATATCATAAATAATAGCGAGCTTACCACAATTGAGGGACCAGTAGAGCATTGTCATATCCTTGGGCTTCTCCAAAGCTGCTACAGGCCTAGAGCTACCATGCGAGGCCGAGTCCCAAATATCTCATACTCTGCCACTGAAATCGCTGGAGCTGGAGTTACATTCAAGGCACACAAAGATGAAGATTCGCTACTTGCAGTGAAATTTAAACAATCATCTCTTGTTCCCGGGTCGGGTTCTCTAGTTGTTCGAGAAACCTGTTTCAGAATTCCAGTATTGTGCATCAAGGACTCAACTCCATCGTTCTTGAGGAATCTCATTGCCTATGAGCAATGCTACCCATTAAGTCGTCATTATGTTACCTCTTTGGCCTTTCTCATGGACAGGCTTATTGACACTAAAGATGATGTTTCGTTGCTTGTGAGGTCAAAAGTCCTTCAACACAACCTGGGAGCCATTGAAGATGTCACAAATCTCTTCAACAATATTTGCAATGGTGTTGTCCTTCGAGATTTTTATTACTCTGAGGAATGGACAAAGCTGCATGAATATTGCAATCGTTTCTGGCCTAGCATATTAATTTCACTGAGAAGACTTTTTAGAAGTACTACGTGGAAAACGTTGACAGTCATTGCTGCTGTGATCCTGTTCGTCCTAACATTACTCCAAACCATCTATACTGTTAAGTGATTTCGCTGAAGTTGTTGAATTTTGAAATTTTTTTTTATGTTACAGATTCCTAGTTTTAGTAGTTTTTATACAGAATGTAGCAAGTTACTGCCAAGTTTTTCTCCTTCAATTAAATTTTGTTACTCTAAATGGCATGCCAGGTACCTGAATATGTGTGTGAATAGAGATTTCGTTGCCAAAGTTCTTTAGTTTCCTTACTACAATCCACTTAATTTGTTCTATCTCGAAATTCCATATACACTTGTTAAGTGCTAAGACAATTATTTTTACAATTTGTATATTGGCAACACTAGTACAAAAAATGATCTTAGGTAGCGTTTGGTATACAGAACAGAACATAACTAGACAAAAACAATATTATTCGGTATGGCGTTTGGCAAAGGTGGGACAAAAAGTCAAAGGACAAAAACTTGGTCAATGGACTAAAACTTGTAAATTTAGTCCCATCCAAAAGGGTGGACGATACAAAGTAATGTTTACAAAGACCAAATACCCTCCTCCTCCCCTCTCTCAAATCATAATTCATAAAACTGTAGAAATTCTCATGGATCCCCCCTGTCAATGATCTATTGTTTGTAACGTCAGTACATGAACTGATTTTGTTTCATCTTGTTTTGTCTAGCACAATCACTTCTCCATGTATGATTAAGACTTCTTCTCTAGTCTTGGTTTACATGATTTTGGCTTATTCTTTTCGGCCATTCTATCTTGGCATGGCCTATCCACGAGTTCTCCACTTCTCCTGGTATGTAGATCTGAAATGTATAACTTCTTTCCCCCAAACCTCTAAGCATTTTTTTTCTTGAGCTTCATACGCTTGATTATACCAGAAAGCAAGCGAACTCTTGATTGAAATATTGTTAAATGTAGTCGAACTCTTAAACATCGATTTAGGTTTTAAAGAAGGTGATTAAGTTTCTGCAAATGAATCGATTTAGAATAAAAACCAGTCACCTGCTTCTTCTGCAATTCATGATTTTTTAATACGATTTATTTGTTTAATCCTATGATTTATCTCTAAAACTTTGCAATCTTTTGATAATTCTTTTTTCAAATCGGGTTAGGATTGAAGGTTTATTAGCAGTACACCCTTTGATATGTGATGATATATGGTCCATTAGCATGGCCTAGACAGCTCTAGCGCGCCAACCTTGCCTGGCGCTCCCTTGCCAGCCTTGCTGGGGACTCCCTTGCCAGCCTTGCTGGGGACTCTCATGCAGGCCAGGCCTGACGCTCCCTTGCCGGCCTTTCCTGGTGCGCGCCCTCCAGCCTCGCCCGACGCCTCCCGGCGGCCTTGCCCAGCTCCTTGCTAGGTGGGCCTAAATTGGGCTGGCTCAAGGCCTGACCTAATTCCCCTTGACCTAATTATCCACTATAAATAGAATAGTGCCTCCTCCGTGGAGAGGGACTTCAGCCAATGGCTCATTCGCCGCCCATATCTCTCTCTAGGCTCAGCCGCTACACTATATTCCGGCCGGGTGGCTCAGCCGCCAGCCGCCGCCGTCAGCCACCATACACTACCCCCAGCACCAAGATGGTCCTCTCCAGCTAAGGAGAACCATCTCAAATCTACTAGCTGATCTAACTTGATCATCAGAGCCTGCTCCCGGGGCACAGTCCCTGGGGCGGTTCTAACGACCTTGCTCTGTGATGTCCAGATCTCCGTCGTAGCAGAAGATAAGAAGAATCGTCGGAGTTCTATGTCGCATCATTTGGTGCCATCCCGGACCCGAGCGAGTAGCAAAAGCCTCAGTTGGTTTCAAGCTCGTTTTCTCTCAGATCTGTTCATATTTGTTGCATTTCACATCAGGTTTGCTTAGATTTGCTCATTTCTACCCATCATTTGTTCAGATCTTCTTGGTTCTTACCAAGATCTGTCTAAATTTGTTTTACCATCTTTCAGATCTGTAGATCCATCTCGTTTTTAGTTCAGATCTATGGATCTACATGATTTTCTTCACTGAAACACTCTCCAAGCTTGCAAAAACCTTCTTAGATCCGTTTTTGTTTATATTCCGGGGCTTTGTTGAGCAAATTCAGAAGAAAAGAAGTTTTATGAGTTTTTACCCATATTTTTCGGTTCATAAGATAAGAAAATCCTTTTTTAGTTGGGTTTTTCTGTATACAACTCCATTCCACAACTTCAGCCCTGTGTTCATTTGCATTGTGGTGGTTTCTTCAGAAAATTGAGAAGAAAAGAGGTTTTTACGGTTCATAAATCATTCTTTCTGTTGAAATTGAAAAGAAACTCTTTTTTTTTTAGCTAAGGATTTTCGTATGTTTTTTTTACCAATTTTAACAGATGTTTGTAGGCATAGTTGTGTTTCTTGTACATTGCAAAAAAAATGAGAGGAAAAAATCCCTTAAGCTCAAAATTTTATATGCAAATCTCTATCCCTGCAATTATTTGCTTATACACATAGCTGTGTACATTGTACATTTCACAAAACCCACAAAAACGTTTATCCCATCTATCAAAACCCATTAGATTATGTTTTTGACCCACCACTTTAGTTTTACCCTTACATCTTACCATTCAACAAATTATAGAAAAGTGGTGATATATGTTTCTTTTGAGCCAACAACAAAAACAAAAAGAAGGGGGAATGGGTATTACTAAGAAAACCCTATTTGTTGAGTATTTTTGTATGCCTTCACCCATTATTTATTTATTTTTAACCCACCTCAAAGTTACCCCAATATTTTAGTTACCATTTTAGTTAATGGTTTTCAAAAAAAAAAAAAAAAAAAAAAAAAAAAAAAAAAAAAGACGGGAAAATGGTATTCAGTATACATCGTAAACTAAGATAAAAACAGCTGGAATGGGTCCCATGTGGGTTTTGAATAGCCTAGTCAGGAGGCAGAAAGAAAAGAAAAAATGCATTCAGTTTACTGCTCGACATAAAAAATTTACAAGAAAATGCTTGGTGGTTTTGTCTCACATCAACAAAAAAAAGGAGGGGTGGTAACCCGCCGTACCACCTATTGCATAGGCCTTCAGAACCATGCGGGTCCCAATAAGTATTAAAAGTCAACAGAAAACACAAAAGAAGGCGGGACCCACCATTCTGTTGCTCTTCCCATATATGACCTTTACCGATGAACAATCTTCTACAGATCATCCCGATGGCGGCACCTCCAAGAGGCAACAGTTCTGATAAGCATACCTCAAAACCAATCATCGGAGGTCAGAATCTGAGTATCACCGATCTTCCGAGCACCAGCAACCACCGTAGACTAGATTTAAAAGGCCACTGGTCACTTCTGATTTCGATGAGCGCCCCCGATAGTAGCTCTCACCTTCACCACCAGACAACCTGCTTAAGCCATCACCGGCCAGACTGCCTTCTCCAAATTTCACCGGCAGCCTGGAACTGAATCACCAACGTCGCTAACAGTGTCAGTCGGTCCCCGTTTAGGACTCTCACATCGTCGTCCCTGGACCACCCGTCGACACCCAACAACTGCCTCACACCTTCAAGCAAATCAGCTCACAAATCCAGTTGTTGGTCGCCCCTGTCCCGACGAAATGACCCCGGTAACTGCCTTTGTCCTCTCTGGTAGAGATCATTGGCCTCAAATGTTTGATTAATCACCGCCTGCTGGAGCTACGACACCACCACATCACCTCCAGTCACTGACTGTCAACACTCGTCGCCGATCTCCCTCTACATTCAACATTACCCGACGAGGAGCCTCGCACTGCTAGCCGTCGTTTCTTTTTCTTCTTTTTGCACCCTTGGAACAGATCGTGAGTATAAGGGGGAAAACGGCTGTAAGATGAAAGCAAAAGAAGGTGTGATACCCATGGAACGTTCAAACGCACGTACAAAAAAAAGAGAATTTGGGCATACAACTCCATAAACCCTAATGGGATGCATTGTTGTGTGTGGACTATAACACCTGATTTGGGCTTTCCATATATTTTAACGTCCGGGCTGCCTAAAAAACAATTAAATGACCCAGTTTTTTCAAGAATAAATTGGCCTATCAGCCAACGCTCAAGTGATATGCTTCGCTCAGCACACCAGATTCTAAAAAATGCGTTGCGATCTAGGCCTAGATTACTCGACATTTAAAAAAAACTAGTTTTTCCCAATAATGGAGAAAATTTCATCAAATTGGAAATGAGCTGCCAATATCCATCCTGGGCTCCTATGACAAATTGGCCTATACTAGTTTATTTTGGGCCCCTTCCAAGCGGGCTCCTTCATTTTATTGGGTTGTGTCAACAACAATAAAATGAGCTAATCTTACGAGACAAATTTTACAATCAGTCTCCCAATGCTCGCATACTGCAACCCTATCAAATAAATTTCAAGATTCGCTTCTTCGGTCCTATCCACGCAACATTTTCAAAAAAAAAGGAGGAAGAATAGTAGTGTACTATTGCTACTCGTGAAGCATTTTGAAATAACCCCGACAGAAAATCAATTAGTTTATGGTTTAAAGAAAACATATTAATTCACAAATTTGATCCTGTTGTCTTTTCAGATAATCGCTCCAGCGCTGCGACACTCAAAGTGCACCAACAACAAACTCACGGAGTAAAGCTCGGTCAGTAAGACATGAGCAAGGGACTTGCAAACCTGTACAAATAAATGAGGCTCGAAAGTGCAAACAACAGGCCGATATCATATATCCATTCATTCTTACTCCTCGCTCTTTCTGAAAAGCGGGGAGTAGAGGGGTTAGCACAACACTGTGCAGAAGTGTTATTTCTATTTTGAGTAAAGATTTGAACTACATAACGATATGACGCTATATACGATTGTGCATCCCTGGGAAGAGATTGGTGTTATGAATGAAGGATAAGCTTTATAGCCCAACACCAAACATAAACCACGTTGCCCGACTATCAGCAACCGTGTTGGCCGGCCCCGGGCAGTCTCGCAACACACTCTCAGTAGCCATGATGTCTAACTCTCATTAGCTATGATGCCCAGCTCTTTCTAGTAGCCATGCGGCCCAGCTTCTAGCAGCCATGATGCCTAACTCTC